GTGACATCTGATGTCCACGTGGACGGGCCGGAGCACACCTGCGACCCGCCGCTCGTCATGTGCAGCGCTGATGCAGAGTACACGCCCTCGCCAGCAGCAGTGCGGGCTGCAACCTGGAATTCGTACGGATACACAGCAGTGTCCTCCAACTCAAGCACGGTGTAGGTCTCAACACGTGGTGTGTCGATGTAGACAACGTCGATGCTGGCGGGGTGGCGTGTGCAGTCGCTCCTTGGTCCCTGACGCACAGAGATGGTGTAGCCAATGAGGATGCCATCAGCCTCGAGTGGGCTGATTGGGTCCCAGCTGAGCGTGACAGTCTCGGTTGTTGTGCTGTCCACCTGCACGTTCGTTGGTGCAACGGGTGGTGTTCCCTCTGCTGTTCGAGCAATCGACGCATCGCTGTACGGACCCAGGCCATCAATGGTGGAGGCAGCCACCTTGACCTGTTGTTGTGGTTGTTGCAGTTGTGCGTGTGTGTGTGTGTGTGTACGTGAGTGTGTGTGTGCGTGTGTGTGCGTGGTGGTACAAACCCGGTCAATAAAGACAGAGAGCAAGTTGAGCAAATGATGCCAACAACAACACGGTCATACACCCACACAAACCTGGTAGTATGTGTATGCGTCGAGGTCTGTGAGGTTGTAGTTGGTGAGGTCGTTGCCCGTGACGATGGTCCAGGGTGTGCCCGCTGGCTGGCGCATGCTGTTCAGGCGCTGCACCCACAGCTTGTACGATGAGATGGTGCCGTGGCGCTCGCCAAACAGCGGCTGCTTCCACGTGATGTGCAACACGGTCGTTGCTGCCGCTCGCGCCACCACATCCTGGGGTGGACCTGAAGGGTTGAGGAGGGAAGGAAAGGCAAGAAATGGCACGTGGATGAGGACAGGGCACAAACGATCGTGTGTGAGGGACAAGGCAGCCAGGCGAAGGAATCACGCGCACTCAAAGCACGACGCACACACACACACACACACACACACACACACACACACACACACACACACACACACACACACACACACACACACACACACACACAAGCGCCAACCTGTTGGGGTGCCGGAGAGAGTGCGGGCGCGGACGGCGTCAGAGGCCGGGCCCTGACCGCGGACGGTGCGGGCAGCCACACGGAAGGCGTAGGTGGTGTACGGGTTGAGGCCAGTGAACGTGTGCTGGTTGTCCTCCGTGATGACGGGATGGCGGCCAACGCAGACGGTGTCCTGGCACGTGTCAAACACCGTCGCATCGTCGCCTGCAAAGGGTGCGTTGTTCGGAGGGGAGTGGCACGTTTGTGTGTTTGTTGGTGAGGAACGAGGAGGCGTGCAATGGCGACTCGATGCTCTCAAACGCATAGATTCCCCCCTCCCACACACACACTTCGCAATACTGACCGTCGTTGCATGGGGTGCCATTCGGGGCGACATCATAGACGCACTCGCCGCTGACGCAGCGACCGGGCAGTTTGCACTGACCCATTGGTGGATCACATGTCTGTGTTGTTTGGACAATGCATGATGCACACGAGGATGAGATTGACACGAAGGGATTCGTGACACTGGCAACATGGACAAACGCAACCCCCACATTCGCTCACAATGACGTGTCAAGTGCACGCGAGCGCTGCTGTACGCACCACGTCGAAGCATGGATCTGCGGACTCGTCGACGCGGTAGAAGACCTCGACGTCATCCACTTGCCAGCTGTTGTAGGAGCCAGTCAACCACTCGTTGTTGTACGTGCTGCTGCTCTGGTGCACACTGCGCTCAGCAATAGCACGGATACACGCAACAGCATGGATGGCGATGAGTATGAGGAAATGACAACATTTGTTGCAGCACAGATGCATTGAAGTCCAAACACAACTGCATGCATTAAACTCACGTGTAAGCATTCGTGCTGGTGTATCCGGACCGGCAGTCCGTTGACATGCGGAAATCAGAGTTGCCTGCATGTGCGTCAATGAGTGAGTGAGTGAGTGAGTGAGTGAGTGAGTGAGTGAGTGAGTGAGTGAGTGAGTGAGGCAAGGTGAGTGAGTGAGTGCGTGTGTGTGAGTGCATGTGTGTGAGTGCATGTGTGTGTGTGCAAACGGACTTGCGCACGCCAGCAACGAAGGCAAGAGCAACCGAGCCCATCAACACCAACACAAGATACATGCACAAACACAAATACGACGACAACGAACCGAACTCAGGGCAGTAGCCTGGGCGCGTGTACTGGGCGTACTCCGGATAGTTGAGGAGATCTGTGCGCTCGAATTGGCCGTTGTTGACAAAACGGAAGAGGAAGGCATCATCGGCACGGAGATACGTGGACGTGTCGGACCGCCAGCTGTTGGGAGCAAAGGCGCCAAATACGCGCGGTCCCTGCGGGCTGCCCTCTGTCGAACGGACAACGACAACCGTCTGGCCCTTGTTGTCGCAGCGCGCGTGGAAGGTGGAGCCGGAGAAGCCGTGGTCTGATGCGCGGAAGCAGAGCTTGAAGCTCGAATCGCTGTTGGGCGACACCTCTTTGGAGATGGCCAGGTTCATGTCCTTTGTCAGGATCTCAGAGCCCATGATGGCCTGTGCCGGCGCATTGGCAGAGATGACGGTGCGGTCGCCGTACACATTCTCGTCCACAACTGCGGTGATCACGTGCGGTGAACAAGACGGGGGTGGCGTTGGCCGAGGGGTTGAAGTGATGATGAGTTGAAGGGATGAGGGCATGTATCGGAGATAGCAAAGAGACAAGCATGACACAGATGCAGATGTAACCCGTGGCCAGAGCCATGAGACAGAAAATGAAGCCAAACAAGCGAGAGCGCGGCGACTCACTTCTCCAGCATTCGACAGGATCCCCTGAAGCGATGCAGAGATGCTGGCCGTCAAAGCCAAGCTTTTGTGTCTGGTACGAGGCCGTCCAATGCACGTTGTCGTACTGATACGTTTGAAGATCAAATCTAAACGGCACAGTGGCAAGGCAAACGCGCGTGTGTGTGAATTGTGTGTGCGCGCGTATGAGCGTGTGCTTGCTTGAATGCGTGTGCATGCATGCAGGCGCATCGTTACACAGCAGAAGCACAGTTCACTAACATGACCACACAACAGCAACACAAGAGCCATCACGCTCACCGGTACATGTCGTTGTCGTTGTAGTCGCCGACGAAGATCTTGTTGCTCACGACTGCAAATGTGCCGTAGATGTTGGAGAACCCTTGAGGCGAGCCGCTCAGCCTGTTCGTGGTGTGCGGGGGGAGCAGGGCGTGGAAGGAAGAGTGGCGTTCGTGAGACGACAGCAAGCACGCTAAGTCCAAGTTGAGTACGACGACACAAACACAAACACAAACACACACACACACACACACACGGAGCAGGTACACACCACACTCACACGCAGACACACACACACACACACACACACACACACACACACACACACACACGGAGCAGGTACACAGAGGAAGTGCCTCCGAATGCACTGACGAGAAAGAGCGCTGGAGTTGGCCCGTCTCCCAGTCGAGGACGCGGATGTTGTAGCTGCCGCTCTGCATGGCATACACGACACCATCGTGCAGCGACACACCGCCAACGGTCGTGCCAAAGTTGTACGCCCAGAGTTGCTGTGGCAAGGGGAGGCGGAAGAAGTATTGCAGGGCATAGGTTGACGCCATGGTAAGCATCGACGCGTGAGTGTATGGTCATGGTGGTGCACGTGTGGTTGCTTGCACGACGCACAACCGCCACAAACACGTTCGAACATACACACACAGACACACAGACACAAACAAGCAATCAATCAAACACACACACGCATTTTCACACACACACTGGCAAACACACGAACAAACACACACACACACACGCAGGCGCGCAGACACAAGCATGCATGCTCACCGTCACGAGAGGGAAGGGGCCGTAGCGGTAGACGTAGTTGTCCGTGTAGGTGTTGAGCAGGTACGTTTCATCCACGTGCACCCATATTTGCATCAGCTGCAAGCACGCAACCAAGAAGAAAAAGTGCAGGGCATTTGTGTGGAATGAGAAGTGAGAGGAGACGGTTGAGGATGCCATGTGTGATGCCACAGCGAGCACACACACACACACACACACACACACACACACACACACACACACACACACACACACACACACACACACTCACACAACTCCAGCAATGCGACTCACGTATCGGCGCTGTTGGATGCGGAAGCGGCCAACGAGCGTCGTCAGATCGTCGGCAGAGTACCTGATACCGGCAGCGGAACACAACACAACGCGATGCAATGGACAGGATGTGAGAAAATGTGCGAGAGTGCGAAAAGTCTGGTTGTGCGTGCATGACACGGAGCGTGGAAGCACACACAATGCCTCCCCCCTGTAACAGCAGCCCCACTCACCGGTAAACGACCGTGCCTGTGGACGAAGATGTGTACTCGGGGAACCACCACTCGTTGCGGCGCGGGTTGTATGCCATGCCGTAACTGCGTGTCGACCACGTGCCGCTGAACGTCGACGTGACTGGAGACACGGGCTGGGGCCGCGGCACGCTGCGACACTGCCCCATCACGCACGTGTCAAAGCCAGTGCTGCAAGCCGGCCACATGCGGCGTGTAGGTACGTTGTGAGCGCGTTGTATTATGTGTGTGTAGGTGCATGTGCGTGTGTGTGTGTGTGTGCGCGCGCGTGCGTACATGGCGTATGAGAGCTACAGTGAAGGCAGGCACCACAAACGCACAACTGCATGCTCGTTCTACGCATGTCCTGCGAGAGTGCACGATGACAACGACAAGGGTCCCGGCTCACCTGTCGTCGCCGTCGTCGCACTCGGTGCCATCGCGCTTGGCCGGAGCGGTGCACATTGGACCATACTGGACAAGGACATGCAGGAGTCATTAGTGCGCGCGAACACAATCACATGTGCATGTGTGCGTATGTGCTGGTGCTGGCGCTCGTGCGACTCTTCCGTGCGAACACACAGACACACACATACTTACGAATGGATCGTGGATGCATTCGCCAACATCGTGGCAGGTGTCGCGAGCGTGACAGCTGATTTCCTCACATGAGGAAGGAAGTGGCTCTGGGGTTCAGTACAAGGACACATACACACAGCCACGTAGTGACACTGTGAGGTGACGAATGGCATAATGCTCATGTCGACTGACGATGTAAGCACGAGAGCATCAGTCCCGACATGTGATTGGTTCAAACAATTCGCACCATCCATCATGCACCAGCGCACCTGGTGTGTAGTAGATGCTGTACTCGACGACTTCGCCCTCATCCGACGGCGGCAGGTCATACGTCACCTGGTGGGCGCGGTGGGGTGGTGGGAAGTGGGGAATGAGTGGTGTTGTCAGTGAGCGAGGCAGTGCAACTAGTACATACATACATACACACACACACACCTTGATGGCCGTCTTGCTGAGAGCGTTGGCGTCGACGTTGTCGGGCGGCGTGCGGGGAATGCCTTGACCGGTGGTGGGCGCGATGGTGTTGCTGCGCTCGCCCTCGCCAGCTGCTGTCCACGCAGACACCTGCACCACATAGGTGGAGATGGGGTCCAGGCCATCAATCTCAACGGACCGCACACTGCCACTGGACGTGGTCACGGACTGCCACGTGCCACCGAGCCTGAGGGGACGACGATGATTCGGACAAGAGAGGAATCGCCACGTGTGAGCATGGCGTAAAGAGTGCATCCAAGCGCTAAATCACACACACACACACACATACACAAAATCACTCACTTCTGGTAGTAGATGGTGTACTTGATGACGATGCCGTTTGGTTCGTACGGCGGCTGCCAGCTGACGGTGATCACCTCGCCGTTGTCAGAGAGCTCCTCGTCAGCCTGCACGTTGGATGGTGGGCCGGGCGGTGCCTCCTGTGTTCGCACAGTGATGCTCTCGGATGGCGGTGACGCACCAGCACCGTTGAACGTGGTCAGGTAGAAGGTGTACTCCGTGTAAGGCAGCAGGCCCGTGACCGTGAAGGTGTAGTAGTTGAGACTCGTCACGAACGCGGCCGGGCCGCCAGCAGAGGCAATGTACACCTGAAGTGAGTGGTGGGAGACAGCGGTGGAGGTGAACAAGTGAACACGGCCAAAGCTGAAAGCTGGTTCAGTGCCAAGCAACCACAAACGGAAACACAAGACAGCAAAACACATGCAGGCACACACACAAACAAACCACACACACACACACACACACACACACACACACACACCTCGTAGCCAAGAAGGCGGCCGTTGTGTGTCGGGTTGGCTGGTGCGTTCCATGTGAGCTTAATCTTCGAATCAGACAGTGCTGTGCCGGCGACGTCCACAGGGCCAGACGATGGTGGCGCCTCGAGTGTGGTGCCGTGAACGGCATCGCTGAGCGGACCGCCGCCAATGCTGGTGTACGCCTGCACCTGCACGGCGTATGTGCGTCCGGGGTGGAGGTCGTCGAGGGTGTAGGAGGACGTGTTGGAGTACCGCGCAGCACCCACGCACTGGCCAGCGACACATGCGTCAAACGCCGTCGTGGCGTCGCCATCGTCGCAGGGGGTGCCGTCAGGGATGGTGGTGGACACGCACACACCAAGCTGGCACACGTTGGTGGGGGTGCACGGGTTCGTTGGGCACACAATACCATCGCACGGGTCATACGCGTCCTCGGTCAGGTAGAACACCTCCATCTCATCGACGTAGATGCTGCTGGAGCCGGTTGCCCAGGAGTTGGAGTAACCTCCGGTGTCGATTCGATAGCTGTTGGGGTTTGTGCTAACGCGCTCACAGTTGGAGTAGAAACGAAGGTCGTGGCCACCGCCTGGTTGGTTGGTTGTGTGTGTGTGTGTGTGTGTGTGTGTGTGTGTGTGTGTGTGTGTGTGTGTGTGCGCGTGCGTGTGTGTGTGTGTGTGTGTGTGCGCGCGCAAACATACACATAGGATGTACCATGAGGGTCGTTGTTACGCATGACGCATGGGATACACATGCATACACAGACACACACGCGTCCACGCATGTTCACACTATCACACTATCACACATATCGCAACACTACCGCCGACTGACCTGTAGAACCTGGCGTTGTCTCTGCCGCCACGGAACAGCCTGCCCTTGACAGCAACCAAGCCACCGAACATGTTGGAGAAGTTATCGCCGCTCGACGAGTCCAGGTTGAACGTGCGCTGCAGCTCGCCATCCGTCGCGCGCAGCACATACACGAGGTTGGTCGTTGCTCGCATAGCATACACGCTGTCGCCGTGCGTGGTGACACCGCCAGCAGTCGTGCCAAGGTTGTAGGACCACACGAGCTGGTTCTGCGGCCACGTGGCCTTGTAGATGTAGTTGCTGGCAGCCAGGTAGTAGTGGGGCGAGTCGGGGGATCCCCACAGCTGGCGGATGCTCCCAACACCATTCACGGCATTGAACGCGCCAATGTAGTAGCCCTTCCACGTGTACTGCAAGTGCCAGTTGGTGCGTGTGTAGAGTGTGTGTGAGTGTGTGTGTGAGTGTGTGTGAGTGAGTGTGTGCATGTGTGTGTGTGTGTGTGCGTGTGTGTGAGTGTGTGTGTGTGTAGAGTATGTGTGTGTGAGTGAGAGAGGCAGTAAGACACGGGCACAATGCAGGTAGACAGACACACACATGTATGCCAGCAAGAGAGAAGAAAGAGAGAGTGCCTGAACAGCTGAAAGGTGAAAGATAACAACCACACCAATGCTACATGAAGACCCCATCACAAGCCTCACGTACCCGGTAGATGGTTGAACCTGACCAGTAGGGGTACCTGTGCAACCAATTTGACGCAGATCACACAACGACGGGGTGAACGGGTGCAAAAACCGAAACACACACACACACAAACACACACACACACAAACACACACACACACACGCACGCACACACACACACACACACACACACACACACACACACACACACACACACACACACACACACACACACACACGCCGGCTTGAGGGTATTCAGGGCGGTTGCTCTCAAGGCACGCACCAGTATTCTCGGTGCATGGGCGCAAAGCCGCCGGCGTAGGAGCGTGTGTTCATGGACCTGCGGAGATTGGGAAGGGAAAAGAGAAGGAAGACGAAAGGCACCAGAGATGAGAAGACACGACGAGGGCAGCGCACACGCACACCACGCACACAATGAACACAATGAACACAATAACAAACACAATTGCACAAATCACGTGTGCGCACGATGCACAACTGCACACAATGCACACCAAGTACATGTGTGCCACGCACAGCGCTGGAACGCTAGATATGAACATACAGTGAAGTGTATGCGTTGACGGTGTCCAGCAGATGTGCGCCATCGTCGGGCTTCCAGATGTTGTGTGAGATGACCTGAGGGGCGGTGTGAGTTGAAGCAGAGTGGTGTCATGTGAATGAGGCCGTTGAAGCGAAGCAGGGAGTGTGGAGGACGAGGAAATTGGGGGGGAGGGGTGACAGCGTGAAGCATTTCAATGAATAAGCACACACACGCGCGCACGCACGCACGCACGCACGCACGCACACGCACACACATAGATGCACACACACACGCACACATGACCGCACCTGATAGCAATACACGTTATCGCTGTTGGGGCTGATGCACAAGTCCTGACCCGTGAATGCCATGTTGCTGATGGTCTGAATGGTTTGGAACCTGAGAACAAGTGGAAGGATAGGCGACAGCATGTGAGTGTCACTGCATCAGCTTCATGACATTAGGGCTGATGCAAACGCACACGCACGTCCAACCATTCGCGTACAACTCCATACACGCACACACACACACACACACACACCTGAAGCCATCAAAGGTGCCATCCTCCAGGTTGTGGCGGTAGAAGTACTGGCCAGTGCCGTAGTAGATCTTGTCGTTGACAACTGCAAAGCCACCGTTGAGGCTGCCGATGCTGCCGCCAGTCAGGTCAAACGTGCGGACGAGCGAGCCGGTCTCCTTGTTGAGCACGTGCACAGTGGATCGCCCGTTCTGAATGCAGTATGCGTAGTTGCTGTCTGTTGCGATGCCTCCGACGGTGGTGGCAGGGGACGGGGTGTACGTCCACCTCACGCTGGTGCTGGGGAAGGGCCCAATCTTGCGGCAGTAATTGTACCCCCAGTTGGCGGTGTAGTAGTACAGCGAGTCAGGCTCGCCCCACAGCTGCATGATCTGACTTGAGCTGGTGCCAAAGTTGGTCTTGTACGTGCCATCCTCTGCATATCTGTAGACGCTGGAGCCACTCCAAGAAGGGTACCTGCGAGCGCGTGCGTGCGTGCGTGTGTGCGTTCGAGTGTGTGTGTGTGTGAGTGTGTGTGTGTGTGTGAGTGAGTGTGAGTGTGTGTGTGTGTGTGTGTGTGTGTGTGTGTGTGTGTGTGTGTGCGTGCGTGTGTGTGCGAAAACGACACGCAAGCGACCAAAACTCGACTCAACCCTCTCCCCGGCTGTTGCATCCGTCCTCACCAGAACTCGCCGAGTCGAGGCATATATCCTCCGCCATGGCTGCGCGTCTGCAAATCAAGGAAAGCAGCGAGCGCAAAATTAGCTCGCATTCACAAGCACAGGCGCAGCACGCAAACAGACGCACGCACACACGCACACACACAGACACACACACGCACACACACAAACACACACACACACACAAACACACACACACACACAAACAAAATACTCACGTTCATGTAAATGTGGCGGTGCACGGGCTGCTGATCGATGTGCTGGTTGACGAGGGTGCCGATGCATGCGCCGGCCTCACAGTGGTCGCTGACGGTGTGGGCGTTGCCATCATCACAGGATGTGAAGTTGGGCTTGTTGGTGTACGTGCACACGCCAAACTCGCAGCGCGGGTCCTCCTGGCAGGGTGTGGGTGGGGCGCAGGCCATGTTGGTGCAGCCGCGGTCGGCGGTGGGCACGTGGTAGATGCGATAGCCAACGATGTCGCCATTGCTGCCCGGTGTGCTGGCACTCATGGCGTCCCAGGAGAGGTTGAAGGTCGTGGCAGAGGTGTCGTCTACGCTGAGGCCCGCAGGTGCAACCGTGGGCAGGTGCGGACGCGTCTTCTCCGTGGTCATGAAGGAAGCGGTGCTGCGGTCACCGTCCAGCCCAATCGTGTACACGAGCACGACGTACTCTGTGTTCGGGGTGAGGCCCGTGATGGACGCCGTGAGCTGCTCGTCGGGCGAGTCGCCGTCCTGCCACTGCTTGGGGAAGCGGACGGTCACCACTTCGTCCGTGGTGCTGCCCGGCACGGGCGTGGCCACGAGGTCAAAGCCGATGGCGGGCGCGTTGCGGAACCAGATGCCTGCAGGCACGGTCCACTGCACGATGACCTCGTCCGCGTCTGGCGGGTAGGTCATCGGGTCCACAGGTGGGAGGGACGTGGACACGGAGCGCGGCTGGCCGGACGGAATGCTGTTTGGCGGGTCGACGGAGAGCATGGCAAAGGGGCCAAAGCCCTCGGCATTCTTGACGGCGACGCCGACATCGTAGCCAGAGAACGGGAACGAGAGCTCGTCGGCCAGGGTGTAGGAGAAGGTGCTCGATGACACCTCCACGTCCGTGGCGTCGAGGCTGGCATTGCCGTAGGCCCACGTCGGGGGCTGTGGAGCGGTGGGGCGGATGCGGATCACATACCCGGTGATGGCGCCGTTGGTCGTGCCGGGGTCGGGCGCCTCCCACGAAACGGCAAACGCGCCACCAGGTGTGGGCGTGGTCGTCGGGTTCCTCGGGGGAGCAGACGGGACCTGCGTGCAGGAGGGGGTGCGTGCATGTGTGTGTGTGTGTGTGTGTGTGTGTGCGTGTGTGTGTGTGTGTGCGTGTGTGAATGAGAGAGACGCACACACACACACGCACACACACACACACACACACACACGGAGCAAAACGCGCAGTTGACACATGAGCCACGCGCTCACAAACCACACAAACTCGCTTGACGTGTGCATCATCAAATCAAAACGATAAAGCGCAAGTGCGCATCTCACATCACGGCGCTGACGCAGGCGAGGGAGGGAGGAGGAATCTGCTGAAGCACTGCAGTCGCAGGACACGCCACACAGAGACACAGCAAAGCACACAGACAAGCAAGATCAAAGCACGCAACAAAGCATGTGAGGGATCGTAAAGGGAAGGGGGGGCCAAAACGAATGAGGCAAGCCGTTTCGAGTTGGGTGTGAGGATAGCGCTGTCTCGTGATGCGAGGGCAACTACACGACGATGACGGCAGTGTGGCAAGCCACCCAAATACGTCCACGCCAACCAAACACAGCCACAATGCAACAAAACACAGACACAGCCACAATGCAACACAACGCAACACAAAAACACAGACACACAACACTCACAGTCACAGTCACACATGCACATGCACGCATACCTCAGGGCTTTAGCTTGAAGTGGATGGGAAACGGCGAGAACCCCAAGGCTCACTGCCAGAACCAGGAGTGCAACGCATCCACGCCGCACCCTCGGTGTAGGGCGTGGCTGCAATACCAGAGACATCGGCGCTTGGCTGAGGCAGGTGTTGTTGCTGGTGTTGTTGCAGGTGGTGATATTGGTGCAAGGAGAAATGCGACGACGCAAGTGCTCTGCATCACGAATTCTCCCACAGCTAAAGTTGTGAAGGCGGCACAGGCATTGTTGTCGCGGCTGTTGTCGTTGTTGTTGCCATTGCAAGTTGAAGCTAACGCGCTTGCGCGGCCTTCTTCGCTTCTTTTCTGGCTGGCATGCATGCTTGCTGTCCTTTTGGCGCGGGCTGTTGACGCACAACCCCACGCCGCAAACACAAACCAAAACAAAGAGAAAACAGCCCATGTATTCCCCGCTTCATTCTCCTCTGCATGCCCCACAGCGGTGGGGATGTCACGACGGAAAAACAAACAAACAAACTCGCTCTGCTTCTCCTGCGTGTGTGCGTGTGGGAGTGCTCTGCGGGGACATCGCCGATGGAAGCGCAGTTGCGAAACATCGCCGTGTACTCAGCAACGTGTCACTGCTGTGTTTTGTGTGGCTTTTGTGTGCATGCGCATCGTCATATCCTCTGCTGCTGCAGCGAATGCTTGCAAGCAAGGAGAATCATGGCTCGAAAATTGGCGAAAAATGACCACAAACAATCCGCATCGCGCCCTCTCTGTGGCGAAGCTGTGGCGAAGTCAGCTCCTACTTCCCTTCAATCACTGGGGCAGCTGAGTCAGCAGAATCAAGCAACAATTTGTGCTGTATGTTTTCGTTTCCAGCCGCAATCAACTCCTTTATGTGCTGTCGTGCTCCATTTTTCTGACACACTCCACAACACAACACAACCCACCTCCACCACTGCCTTGCCACAAAGACCACCCCGCCACATCGACGACGAGCGATGTTAAAGTTGACGACAGTGGCCTGGGCGGCCCTGGTGTTGTCCATGTGCCTGATTGTGCTGATGAGTGTGCAGCAAGGAGGCGAAGGCAAAGGCCGAGGCGGGAGCTCTGTTTGGGGTGGCCTGTTGGAGCTGCTTGACAACGTGCAAGACTTTGTGTGGGCCGTGCTGACCGACGCACGGACGCCGTCCGCGGTCCTGTTCATCCTTGTCCATGTCACGTATGAGGCGGTCATCTGGCTGATGCCATCCGGGCTGTCCACAGAAACAGACGACCTGAACCCACCAGGGACACCGTCGCAGCCACCAAGGCGAGCGCCACGGCCACTGTCCGCGGCATCAGCGCGCAGGCATCGAGGTGCGGACAGCACCAATGGATTTGGGGCCTCCTCTGGTGGCACCACAAGGCCCATCCCCTCCTTGTCCGATGACAGCGACGATGACGACGACATGGGTGTGGCTGCTGGCATCATGAACGCCGGTCACAACAACAATGGCGAGTTTGGTGGCGGCTTTGGTGAAGAGGAGGCGGATTCGCCGGACAACATGAACGCGAGCACGTTCAGCAGCACCACTGTTGTGAACAGCAGCGTCACGTCCTTCCTGGCGTCGTCTTTTTCGTTCCTGGCCTCCCCGCTGTCCTCGCGTCGCGGATCAACGCAGCCGTCCTTCTTCACGCCGGCCTCGTCGCCTGTCCTGGACAGGTTCACCCCGCTCATGAGCGAGGACGAGTACATTGCCACCCGATCAAAGCACACGCGCCAGGCGCTGTTTGAGCTCCGCCAGCAGTGGAGCACGCTCGACGAGCACACGCGCCGCCGCATCGTGCACCGGCGTCAGGTGGAGTCCTTCGCAGAGGGCGGTGCCATGGACTTGGGGGAGCTGGAGGAGGACGAGCGCGGGCAGCTGCGAACCGACATCCACGCTGCAACCCTCCTCAGCCCGCAGCTCGTGCACCGCGTTGCAGAGTCGCGCATCGTGGAGCTGTTTCGGTTCAAGGTTGTGCGCTTCCTGCTGGCGGTCATGGCCGTGGTCGCCCTGCAGTTCTTCTTCTCCAACGCGTCGTCCTTCATGGCCACCGACGGTGACGGCGTCCCAAACACCCACGCCCACGCCAGCGCCCTGCCACACTTCCTCCTCGTTGGCTCCGGCAACGTTGTGTGGGAGCTTGTGCGGGCGCTGGTGCTGCTGCAGCTGGCCCTGACCCTTGCTCTCAGGTTCCGGGGCCCCACCCTGTGGCTCGCAGACAAGACGGGCGCCCTCGACCTGCTCAACAGCGTGCTCAGCGTTGTTCTCGCCGGAGACGCGCGGCCGCTCCTGGCGCTACTGCTCAACCCCGTGCTTGCAGGCACCCTGCTCGCCATCACCTGCGCCCACTACTGCCCGGGAACAGCCACATCCTGGATTGCTGGCCTCCCAGACATGCTGCACCTGCCCCCACAGGTCACACACGTCCTCGCGCATTTTATGGCGCTGCCATCGCTCTTGCTGGGCAACGCGCCCCTCCTGCCGGTCACCCTGGTGCTGGCCGCGGGCCTGTTTCTCGGTCATCGTGTCGGGGTGCATCTCGCGTCATCGCGCGCACTCCGCGCCACCGCCCACGCCCACGCCGTCACGCCCCGCCTCTCCCTCGCCTCTGTTGCGCTGTGGACGTTTGCAGCGCACGTGCTCGCCACCGTGCTTCTGCTCTCCTTCCCCACCCCCACGCGCGATACGGACGACGAAGGCACGCGTGCGGTTGCTCCGCTCTTTGCGTCGCGCGCCGACACCGCACACGGGCCCTACCCGTGGCTGCGCCCTGTCACCAGCGACACCAGCAGTGGTGGCAGCGGTGCTGTGCCAGCGTTTGACGTGTTTGATGTGTACTCTGCGCAGTTTGTGGCCATCTCCGACGCCGCGTGTGTGCTGTTGAAGGAGCACGGGGACGGGTACCGTGTGGGTGACGGCGTGCTGGCCGTGGCTGGCCTGGCCACCGCGCTGTACGGGCACACGCTGGCGCACGCGGCGGTCCTGCTGTCGCTTGTGGTCGGCTTCAACTTCCTGGTCGCCCCGGCCTGCTACGTGTTGGCCCACGCGCTGGTGCTGTCCTGGCCGTCGCTGTTCTACGTTGCGGCCTTCACCCTCCCCCTGGCTGGCAGCGCGTACCTGGCCCTGGTCACCATGCGTTCCCTGATGGACCGCCTGCCGGGGTTTCTTGCCCTCGTGCCCGCCGCCATCGTGTCCCGCGTCACCCACCCCTTCTACCCGCACGCGCTCTCCGTGTTCTTCCTCACCGCCGTCACCCACGTCAACTTCTCCCTGTTTGGCGGCGTGCACGCGCTGCCGGCACTGCTGTGGACGGGCGCAGACCTGGACGAGCTCGGCGATACGTGCGAGGCCGCGCTTGCGCGCTACCCTGACTGCACCGGCCCGCTGCGTGACCGATGCACACGTGCGCACGCCAACCAGCTGGTGGCCGACCTGTGCGACGAGCAGGCCGCAGGCGCACTGTCCGTCGATAACGTGCAGACCCTCAACGTCTTCCTCATCGCCACGCTCTTTGCCATGCTGTGCAGCAACGCCCCCTACACGCAGGCTGTCGGCATTGCGGCTGTGACGGCGATGGCTGGGCTGGCCATGGCGGGCCCGCTGTTCCTGCCGCTCTGGGTCGTGGAGGCAACGGCACTGCGCGTCACCGTGTCGTGGCTGCTGGTCATCTTTGCCACCGCCTTCCAGCTCAAGGTTGCCGTTCCCTTGACCCGAGGCCTCCACCTCGATGCCACGCACGCCTCTGCCGCCCAACCGGGCCTGCTTCGCTTCCTGTTTTCCTTTGCGCAAAGCTTTGCTGTGGGCGCCGCCATTGCAGCTTCTGTCCAATACATGTCCCCTTTTGAGGAGTAGTCATGTGTCTGCGTGCGTGTGTGCGTGTGTGTGCATGCGTGTGTGTGTGTGTGTGTGTGTGTGTGTGTGTGCATGCGTGTGCGTGCATGTGTGTGTGCTTGTGTCTGTGTGTCTCTGTCCGTGTGTGTGTGTCTGTGTCTGTGTGCCTGTGTCTGTGTCTGTGTCTGTGTCTGTGTCTGTGCTTCTTTTCGTGTGTCGTTACAAATGACGTGACATGATGCGACCACTTCATGTCATGTGGTTGCGTGGCTCGTTACTGTAGCTTGTGGGCTGCCTTCCCTCCGCCCTTCGCCTCCACCTCATTGCAACCTCTTGCGGTTTCCCATCTCCGGCGGTCTGCGTGTACCTTCTCCTGTCTTCGGTGCTCCTCTCGACGCCACCACGTGGCCACGCAACCTACACACCTTGTTGCACACATAAACCGTCCCATCCCCCTTCCGTCCGCTCCTACATCATGCGCCTCATGTTCGTTTGGTGGTTGTTTTGTTCTTCCCCTCGCATCATTGCGTCATATCTGCGTGTTCTGACGCAATGACATTTCTGCACGGTGACGTCATCGCATTTAAACAATGAGTGGCTGCTCTTGCGAGTGATACGAACTGACACCAACGCAACCATCCTGCTACTGCCTTGTTGCATTCCCCACTTGAACCAGCGTCCCTCATCACTCACGTCTCGCGTGATCTAGCCCTGCTCACACCATATTTCTCATTCGCCCTGCGCCCTGCGACACCTCTACAGCATTCGCCAAGTCGCCTTCTTTCTTCTGCCCTTCTTCAGTGAAGCACGATGTACGGACTCCTGCACAAGGTACAATCAATCGAACCTTGTAAAGTCAAGCTTGATCCTGCCTCCCTCGGTCCTGGCTGCATGAACGTCTGCACGCGCGATTCTGGTGGCAATCGGAAGTTGGCGCGTGCGATTGCGATCGCAAGCGCGATTGCTGTGTTGTGGTAAACCAGCAAGCCAACCAACACAGCAATGTCAGGCTCACACGCTATGCGGACCCCTTGTCACACATGTCACCCTTTAGGCCCTGACAGCATGGATCTCGTCCTTGCCTGATGGCGAAGACCTGCTGACCCAAGTGATGGCGGAGGTGGACTTTGATGGCCGCCCTGATGACTTCTTCAGGTTTTACTCCAACGATCAGACAGGCTCATTCCTTACAGCTGTCGCAAAGGTGTGCTTGATGTGATGTTGTGTTGCGTGCGTGTGTGTGTGTGTGTGTGTGTGACGTGATGTGATGTGATGTGATGTGATGCGTGATGTGATGTGTGTGCAAAATGTGATCTGTGTTTGTGCGTATGATATGCGAGATGGGATATGGGTGTGTGTATGTGTGTGTGTGTGTGTGTAATGATCGGCTGAAGCAACAGCTGCAAGCGGAACATGGCGTGTGTCGTTTGCGCGCCAATTTGTGCGTGAGCGCGCAAGGCACTTGATCCCTGTCATTCCCATGTGTGACAGCATGCACAATTCGCTGTTTCCGCCTGTTCACTTCACTCGCCCTCATTGATCCCCACCTTACCAAGCCCCATCTTGCCTTGTCTGCGCCCTCTCCTCGCAATCGCACAATGACAGGTGACTGGCCGCAGTCAAGAGGACTGCAAGTTTGAGGCCGGCCGCTTCTTCTTGGCAGGCATCCTGGAGACCGGGTATGGCTCGTCCCTGCGCACGCTCGGCAGCGACTTCTTCACGCTCCTGGGGAACCTGGACAGCCTGCACGAGTCGTTCACGCCGTCCTTCCCCAAGATGCGCGCACCCTCCATCCGCCCGGTCCGCAACGATGACGGCTCCATGACCGTGCACTACTACAGCTCCAATGCCGGCCTGAGCATGTTCATGATGGGTGCGCTGGAAGCAGCTGCCCTTCGCCTCTTTGACCTGGACATTGACATCCACCACCGCATCAAGAAGGGCCAAGGAAGCAACCACGACGTCTTCCACGTCTACATGGACCCACGGTACGTGCGCATCAGTGTGTGTGTATGTATCTGTGTGTATGTGTCTGTGTGTGTACGTGAGTGTGCGTGTGTGAACTTGATTGTGTGCGGGCTTGTCCTTCATGTTGCCAACGCACTCCACATGTCTCCCAGCCCACCCCTAAGCTTCCCTGCAAACACCCACGCACAACACACACACACACACACACACACACACACACACACACACACACACACAACACACACACAACACACACACACACTTACATGCAGGGGCTTTGGCGAATCGACGGAGGTCGACGAGACGATCAAGGAAGCGTGCACGATTGACCTGGGCAA